CGGGGCCGGATATAAATGTACGCCGGGCCGGATGTGGCCCGCGGGCCTTGACTTTGACACATGTGCAGTGTTTATACCGCTATGGAAAAAAACGAAAAGAAAAAAAAACCCATCGGCCCATGAAAACGAAAAATCCCCATGATGGCCAGTCCAGCTATGCATAGAGACCATTTTGGACTCAGGGTTTCGCACTATCAGGACCGTTTTGTTTGTCAGTGGCGCAAAGTTGCATGGCAAAATTCCCCAAAGGTGAACAAAGCTGAATTTTTTTCCACTTGTTTACTTTGCCACATCTGCCAAAGCAAATCCACCTGGAGAGTCGTATTTATTATTGCTGCAGAATTAGCATTTTTAAATGTTGGTGTGATCGGCACCTTTAGTGCCCTTAAGCAGGCAGCAGCACAAACATGGTAAGCTGCCTGAATATGCCTGTCAACTGAAATTCCCCACCAGGTATGTTAGATTAAAAAAGAAAACTGCCAGTGTTAGGTGCAGCGTGTGAAAGCCATTGGGTATGGCGAGAAAATCTTTGTTGATCTCTGGCAAACATAGCACACACTTTAAACAATGTGTCATGTCAACAGTGTTTCCCCCCCTTGGGACACAGTGGCAGGAGAGGGTAAATTCATTAACTACAGCACAACTGGTGTATAATTAAGTTGTGCACTGTAGGCGAAAAGCATACATACACCAGGAGAGGGCTGAACAAAACAAATTACCATCATTCCCAAGGTCCAATACTTGATAAAAAGTTGCTTGTGTCCTAATAATATATCATTTGTCAATAGCAAAATGGAAAAGCCTTTCAGAAGTGTGTATAAACTGGTGGACTGTAATCATGTTGTCTTTGTGCTTGTCAACTGGCATTTAGAAATCCCTGCCCCATGCTAAAATGCTGACCTTTACTACCTCCCCCAAGGCGCTCTCTCCTACAAGTTATTGGAGTCGTTTCTCAACTGTGAAGTCAAAGTCATGTTGTGGGCCCCGTGTCGTGACCTCCATTTACTTTCCAGAGAAGTCTGACTTGGCTTCAATGGTTAAGAGGTCCAATTAGAGAGGGCTGTTTGTGTTGCTCGAGTTTGATTTTAATTTCTGCAGCCACAGGAACGGTGAGCACACCAGCTCTGTGGCAGAGCAACCTCTCTGCTGTAACACCACCACCCCGCTACACCAGTCTTCCGAGTCATCATTAGTCTGCTGGCCGGCGCTTAAAAGTGAGGGAAAGTGTGTCAAAAGCTTGGCTGAGCACCTCCCGCACCCAAACACATTCTTTGATGTGACAGAATGCGCTTAAGCCGCCTCTTCTTCTTCCTCCTCTTCTTCGTCTCTGCAGGTCACAGCTGTGTCGTTCGAAGACAAACAAGAAGCAGCATGAAAAGCAAAATTCTAATTCATGCGAGAGTGACAGGGGCAAACATGAGGGAGGGGGCACGACCCAATATAAATGATTCTTGCTCCCACTATAGCCCCAGGATTCTACATCAAGCTTAACTAATGTGCAATTAAGCTTTAGACTGGAAGAAAATCACCTTGTAAAAACATTTGTCAAGTGAACTGTTTTTCTGTTCTGGGCTGCTAATTAACAAGGGAATGGGAAGAAGGGTTTGTTTGCGTGTGTATTTACATATACATGAAGAAAATAAATATCCTCACTGTTAAGGGAGAGCATTACCAAATCCCCTTCATATGTCTCTATTAGACAACACTGACATGTAGTCCCTATCATTAAGCAATAATAGTTTACTTTACAGCTCATGAACTACAGTATCAACAAATTAAGCCCAGTGATAGTGCTTGGTGCCAAGCGAAGCATTGTGGCGGAGGGGGAGGGAGTAAGGGAGCGTAGTTGGGGGGGTTGGTGAGGTGGTGATGTGTGGGGGGGGGGAATGCAAGGCTTTATTGTGTCTGTCACATTAAACGATATTGCAGCCACACTCGGAGTAATGAAGACCACTTCTAAAGTCATTTAAAAGTCAAATCATCACTGTCTGTGAATTTCAATGATGTATAATAGAAAGAGCATGCCGGAGGCTTGAGAAGAGGGTGACAGAGAGCAGGAGGAGGGAGTCGGGGCAGTGGGAGTCAGGAGTCGGGAAGTTGCTGTCCTCTCAGCAGACACAAAGGTGATAGATAAAATGACAAGGCTGGAGCTGCTGCATGGCTCAGGGGAACAGAGTGCAAATGCATGACTATACACCGTGTGGGGCGCAGACATTTTTGCAGGGTCCGACTTGCTCTAGCTTGTGTATACATAACATATGTGTGAGTGTGTGTACTGTACGTGTTGTTTTCTAGCAGGTGGATGAGACTGGGGCCATGGATATGAAGGTGGACGACTCCCAAGTGTGGGTTCCTGCTGAGGAGCCCATCGTTAACCCGGACTTCCTCCTTGACTCCAAGATCTGGGAGATTTGCCAGCAGCTGCCCATCCACTGGATCCATCCTTCCCCCCTGAGCGGTGAGAGCAGGGGGCATCTCTGCCTCTAAATGCAGACTATTAACACTCTCGCTGGAGGACATCTCCACAGGCCATAAGCAGGTCCATGGAGACAGCATGAGTTCCTAACCATATGAGCAGGCAGCCCAGGCTACTCTGTCCGTGTTAGAAAAGTAGAGAGGCTGATGGATAAATATTCTGATACTCTGTTTCTACAAAATTATCAGTGCAAACACAGTTTATTAAATGTATGCACTTGAAGTCTTACAGTCACAGAAAGGCTACTTTATACGATATGGTATCATACTTTACATATAAAGGTTGGATTTGGCCACTGTGATGGCACTAACTGATTAACATTTTGAGGCCTCGAGTTTGGCATTTTGGAATATTTGGGCCTTTTGGGATGAAATGGTGGACTGCTAGGTCAAGAATCTGTATTCATACACTATATAAGTGCACTGCATGGCTACAGAAGCCTGTTAATTAGTGCTAACATAAAAAATAATACTAGCATTTCATTCACTAAAAACAAGACAGGCTTTGCGCAGGCTTATCTGACAGTCTGTTGTTTTAATTACTAGCACAACAGACCACAGTTTTAACAATGTTCCAAAAGAAATCAACACCACCTACACACCTTTCTTGAGATTTGTCCATCCTATTGGACATGACACAATCATTGATGGTGAGGGGAAAAACGTGCCTTCTCAAATTGGTTGGTGAGTGGTTTCTGGAGGTTGCCTGCAGTGGCTAGATCAAAAACATCCTTATCATTGCCTTGGTCTAGCAGGTTGCTGCGGTGATGTAGTTTTGCTGGAAGACGCTGATTTGTCTGCAAACACTTGTTAGCTGATAATCTTGCAAGAGTGTTTGTCTTCAGAGTAAAAGCTGTACCTCTGTGCTGCAGCAAGCACATTTTAAAAAGTCAAAGTTTTACTGAATGCTGACGGTATCCAGTTCTGGTTTCTTTCACACTTCAGTTTCCCAACTGCTTGGAGAGTAGTTGGCAAGTGTTTGCAGGCAAGTCAGTTTCTTCCATGCAAACTATGGGTAACTGCAGCAATCTGCCAGTGCAGCTGTGGCTCAGCAGGTAGAGTGAGTTATCTACTAAGATCAGTGGTTTAATCCCTTGTCTGCATGTCAAAGGAAGATACTGAACTGAACTGTCCCTGATTCATTCACTGGAGTGTTTGTGTGAATGTTAGATAAAAAGCACTTAGGCAGAGGAAAAAGTTGGGTGAATGTGGCTCGTAGTAGAAAGCACTTTGATTGTTCAAATAAAGTAGAAAAGTGCTATGTAAGTACCAGTCTATTTACCAATGCAATCACAAGGTTTTTGCCAACAACTCAGGAAATATACATTTTTTTCCCTAGTGACCAGTGGTTGCCAGGGAAAGGTTCTGTTCACTGAATTAAATTAGCAAAGGTGACAGCCAGCAGACAACTAGCAACTGTAGCAATCTATGTTAGCATCAGCTGGCCAGTGACTCTAATAATGTCATTTATATACAACTTCACCCTCTACAGTTCAACATATGGAGAAAATTAACTTCAAAGGCCTAAAATGTTTTTGTGCCTGGCTGTAAACATGTTTATTTCTGCTTCAGCATAAAGATCGACTCACTTTCAAAGACAGCCCCAAGAGGCCATTACAGGAACTGCATGTTTTTCAAGCTTCCGACAGGTTTATTTTAGGCCCTAGAGATTAGTCTACATTGCAGATTATTTAAATATAAATGAATGCAGTGTTAAGCTCACACGTAACATATATATAAAAATGATATATATTTATAAAAAATCTCTACCTATTCTAAAACAGTAACTTCAAAATAATGTGAAAGAGCAATTTTCATGACAAGCATACCTTTTCAGCTTCCCTGCAGAGCTTTATAGTGAATTTCAGCTTATTGTCTGACCTGCAAAGTTTCTCTTTCATGCTCCTGTATTGTCTTAAAACTCAGTCTATCAGCCTTGAGCAACATAACAGATACAAGATACAGATAACAACCAGCAGCTGCTCATAGTAAAACATTTAGGAGCTATAGAGCCAAGCATTTACTTGCATTAGCTGGCAGAGGCCAAAAACAATGTTAAAGGAGTGTTTAAGAACACAACTCAACGTGAAAAGTAATATTAAACTGCAGACTTGATGTGTTATAGTTATGTTAGTATAGAAAGTTTTCTATACTAACATACAAGGTAATGTCAATGTTATATCAATCACTGCTGGTTTAAAAAAGGAAAGATGAATAGCTTTATCTGAGAACACGAACACGAACACGTACATATTGAATAGTTTGTAATTATCTTACTAAAGCGGCAGTTTTCCATGTGCTTTGAAAAATAAGCATTCCAAGAGTCGGGCTTTCATGTTAAGATGAAGCATTTGCAGTATATGAGGTGTCTACAAGGTAACAATCAGATAAATGTAGTAAAAAGAATAATATTTCTCTGGGAAATGTAGTGGAAACAAAGCATGCTTCAGTCGCAAGTAAAACACCTACATATATACCTCAGTAAATGTAGCCGGTTACATTCAGCCTCTTGTTTTGGTCATCTGGAGAGGGTTTTTTTTCTTTCTCATAAAGATGCCAAGGCTTTATGAACTGGCATCTGTGTGTTAGTATCACAAAAGCAATAACACCATTGTTTGACAGAAGCGTGAAAAAAGCCTGGAATTAATTTCTTTTGAATGCTAGTAAGTAACATCAAGCCACTGGGAAAACACAGTGTTCAAGCCAAAATTGAATCTAAGAGCTTTCTTATTTTAATTCAAACAACAGAAAACAGTTGGAAGTATATACAGTAACATCTCTCTCTCTCGCTTTTATTCTCTCCTGCTCGTTCTGTTACTCAGATGCTGAGGTTGTAAACGTGGATACACCCGACGCCGAGGTCACAGGTCAGCGTTTTGCCCGCGACGTCCTGGACCACCTTCCCGTAAACGACTATGTAAGTGGGGCCCTCTCTGCCACGTCACCCAGGGACCACACCACGAGATACAGTAAAGTCACTTCAATCAGCCGCAGCTCTTGCCTCAACTCTTTCTGCATATAAATCGCTCACTAATTGATGTTAAAACTGACTTTGTGCACCAGAGGGCATAGCAATTGCTCTATATATCTGTTTAAGTAAGGCCAGTTCAATGAAGACTCCCTTAATGTCTCTCCATTAATTGAGAGGAATATCCAGCCTTTCAAAGGCAGCAACTTGTGCCTTACAGCCCTAGTTAGAGACTTTTTTTTCTACTTCCTTTTTTTCCGAGGCACTGGAAAGCACAGTACAAAGCAGCACTTTCAAGGTCACTCATCGCTGCACAGATAAGTTACATTTATTAATAATGCTTTAATTATCAAAGCGTATAAAATGAATGGAAAGGCCAAGTGGCATATTTTGGTGTACAGCATGTAAACCACTCAATACCGTATGATTAATTATCCCTGACTCTAGGGGAAAATCACATTGCATAGTATATTACACAAGACTTATGCACTCTTATACCAGCACAAAAAGCTGCAGTTGCACACTAAGAGACACCCTAAGAACAGGTGCAAGGATATATGATATATGCATATACTTGCAGGGAGCACTTACAGGTGAACAGCCACTAAAGCTAAATTCAAGGATAATGAGTCAGGCTCAGTCTCCTCCGCAGGGCTCGGAGAAACGGTGTGAGACATGCAGAGAAATGAGACATCCTATAATGTTGACGTTTATCAGGCCCATCCCAGAAACAGCCTCCTGCTCAACTCTTCAATTTCCCCCCCAGCTCCTCTGTCTTCTTCCTCATTGTCTGTGGCAGGAGATGCAGTGCTATGCAATTAAAACATACCAGGGGATGAAAAACTCAGCTCCACTTTTGAACGTTCTGCCTCTATCAGCCGAGTAATGCACACCATTGCAATCCATTCCAGCAGCAAGTCCAGGCGCTGTTTGTGGGTCCAGTGATAACAACGGCCTTTGTGGCCGGGCACAGGGCAGGCAGCAGTCTGTAATTGGGAGTCTGAACTCTCACTCCTGCCAGTGGTATGCCACATGTCTATTTTTTTCTTCATCTAAAAGTCATGCAAATGGGCACAGTAAAAAAACCAAACAAGGAAGCTCACCCGCAGAGTCTGCTACTCACAGTTTCTCTGCATTCACTTCATCTGCATTTCATAAGTCTGAATTTGAGCACCAAGCCTGTCCACAGTGCACATTCATAAAGCAGAGACTGGCAGATGTATATTATGCTGAACTTTAACACGGCTGCCATGTCAGAGTGCAGTGTGTATCAGCGGTGGCCCTGGAAATTTCAAACTGAATAACGACCGTCTGACAGGCGGATTGCACCGCCGTCCTTGACCCACATAACAAGGATGGGCTTTCTATAAGAATTGAGCGCACTCATACTCATGTAAATATGTTTGTACGTGTTGCTGCTTGTGTCCTGGGATTTGTCTTGTGTCTTGGACTTATCCTTACAAACCTCTGGCTGCTACATCCAGGGTCAGGCTAAGTGGCTGTTCATGCACACAGGTGCAAAAAGCTGAAGGAATTCAAATTCCGTGAATGCAGAAGTTGTTTGTGCCTCCAGAGGAATCTTTACACTGAAGCTAAAGCTCCTTATCACTTCGGTAAAGCAGCAGAGTTTACTGAAATACATGACTATCTGCTTATTCAATTACATCCAATTTCATTGTCATTCCACGTCACTGTAGAGAACAGTGAGATGAAAATCAGAGATCAGGACACGCAGCAAAGAATTTCATATGTTCCACTGTCCTGTGTGTCTACATAAAAAGACCCTTTTCGAATACAAAGCAGAGTGTGAAACAGAAATGTTATCTCTGCTGTTTTGATCCCCGAATGAATGTGATGAGCTCTGCTTTGAGATTTAATAACACATCCAGGCATGTGCTTCAAGCTCATGAAGAGCGGGGATCAGCGTGTGTGAAATAATACCAACAAGTGTGGAGATTAGAGGAGTCATGCTTTGATTCGTTACATCTTATTGAATGACTGACGCAGTTTTCTACTCTGCAGACTCATTCACATCCAGCTCCTCATAATATGCACAGAGGTGTCTGTGTTTGCGTGCAGGTTTGCATGTGTATGTGAGAATGTGTGTGATGAAATCAGATCCAGCAAGAGGGTAATGGCTTTTACTCTTCATTAATGCTGCTTGTTTGTGAGTGACTGCCTCAGATTTCCCAAGGTGAACCATTCTTATCACCGCGGCTTCCCACTAGAGACGGCGACTCAAAGCCAGAGTGATTAATATGTACCCTCCGTTTTAAAAGGATAGCTCTGATTAATTGTCTTTAAGGTACAATGCTGCCTATTGGCGGTTTGTTTTGATAAACACCGGCGTCATTTGAATAAAATATTTTCTTCATTTTCCACGCCCGAGCTCCGGATTTCGTAACACCCCAGTTTGGGCTGTGAGGAGCTGATAAGATTATCGTTGGTCCATTGACAGGTTTCGTGTTGTTCATATAACCGATTGTTGCCTGGGAGCCGATGACCTGAAACCTGCCTACAGCAATAAATCATTAAAAGCCTACCTGTGACTGTCATAGTAATAAATCAAACCTACCTGGATATAATGCATTGTACTCTGTGTTTTGAATATGTCTAAAGAGCAAGTAATTTGACTCAGTTTACATCAGGTGCATAGTTTTCACAAGCCAGTCAATTCAATTCAATTCAATTTTATTTATATAGCGTCAAATCACAACAAAAGTCGCCTCAAGGCGCTTCATAGATACAGAGAAAAACCCAACAATCATATGACCCCCTATGAGCAGCACTTTGGCGACAGTGGGAAGGAAAAACTCCCTTTTAACAGGAAGAAACCTCCAGCAGAACCAGGCTCAGGGAGGGGCGGGGCCATCTGCTGTGATTGGTTGGGGTGAGAGAAGGAAGACAGGATAAAGACATGCTGTGGAAGAGAGACAGAGGTTAATAACAGATATGATTCAATGCAGAGAGGTCTGTTAATACATAGTGAGTGAGAAAGGTGACTGGAAAGGAAAAACTCAATGCATCATGGGAATCCCCTGGCGGCTACGTCTATTGCAGCATAACTAAGGGAGGATTCAGGGTCACCTGGTCCAGCCCTAACTATATGCTTTGTATATAATGAAATAAACGGGGAATCGTAGATGAAGCTGACAGATCCATTTTAAGATAGAAAAATATATAAACATTTACAGAAGAGTCTGGTCTAATAACTCAAGTTGACACAGAATTTGAATGTTTACAGATCGTTTTCTGATTTACAATTGAATCATGTGGTGGATTTACTGCTGTGAGCTGCTACGTACAAGAAAACAATGTGTGTAAAACCACCGTGATTGAATGCTTACTGACGAGTGGAGGAGATGCAAGAAATCCCCAAACTCCCTAACTTAATGCAGTAGGGGACCAGAGGGACTCAGCCATGTGGTCCAGCGCGTCCTGTCCTCTTAAACAATTCACACACATTTTCTTTTCCCAGCTGCGGATGTGTTTTGTTCCGCACTATCGCACGTAGCTGAGTCATTGTAAGTGCTCGCGTTTTTTCCCGAATGTGAAGTCAGCGGAGGCCGTTGACTCCTGGAACCGAGCAGTTTAACAAGATATCACCAGATTGTCTCCAAGGATTCATTTACTAAAAGAGATTGAAATGTGGTCAAATGCATACTGAGGGCGGTTGCTACTTCAGCTCACACTGTGAGTTAAGTGGCACTTCTCCGAACCCCATTTGGAGTTGCTCTTGATCAAAGGCATGGCACTCAGCCCCCACGAGTCCACGAGGGCATGAACCAACCAGCACAATGGAAAAATCCAAGGGCCATTAATTCTACCCAATTTACCTTTCGTTTGGGTTTCATTTGGCCCCTCTATAAATTCAGAGGCAGCCAGCAAGAGCAAATGAAAGAATCCTTGTTAGGCGATCATTACTCTGCTAATTGCTTTAGGAATGTGCCATGCACTTAAAGTCAAGGTCAGGGGGAGGGCGCCAAGATGTGAGGAGCTCTAATTTGAATGCTCTATTGGAGGAGGGGCAGTCCGTTTTAAAAGGATAGCTCTGATTAATTGTCTTTAAGGTACAATGCTGCCTATTGGCGGTTTGTTTTGATAAACACCGGCGGCATTTGAATAAAATATTTTCTTCATTTTCCACGCCCGAGCTCCTGATTTCGTAACACCCCAGTTTGGGCTGTGAGGAGCTGATAAGATTATCGTTGGTCCATTGACAGGTTTCGTGTTGTTCATATAACCGATTGTTGC